ATCCCCAGCTGTGCTTTCAGCATCCGTCTCTCATCAAACCTGGGGAGGAGGTTGTTGTTGTTATTATTATTGTTATTAATAATAATAATAATTATTATTAAATTCCTTTTCATCTTTGTCCATGGCCCCTTCGCACACAAAGCCTTCAGGGATGTGTCTTAGCAAGCCGTTCTTTGCCGAGCCAGCGGTTATCGCGTGTCAATGTAATAAACCAGGTCTGGGTGAAGGGAGGCAGCACCCAAAGTTTCAATTCAGATGCTCTGGATTCCATGCAGGCCTTTGACGGGGGCACAAGAGGCTTCGGAGGGATGCCCCTTCCTTGACAGGGGCTTCGATCTCCAGACTTCTGGAGATCTGTTTCCGCAGATTCTCTAATGGACAATGGGAGGGAGGAAGGGAGGGAGGGAGGAAAGATAAATTGAGAAGGGAGGAAGGAAGGAAGGACAAATTGAGAAGGGAGGAAGGAAAGATAAATTGAGAAGGGAGGAAGGAAGAAGGAAGGAAGGAAGGAAGGACAAACTGAGAAGGGAGGAAGAAAGGAAGGACAAATTGAGAAGGGAGGAAGGAAAGTAGGAAGGGAGGAAGGAAGGAAGGATAAATGGACAAGGAAGGAAGAAGGAAAGAAGGGAGGGAGGAAGGAGAAATTGAGAAGGGAGGAAGGAAGAAGGAAGGAAGGAAGAAGGCAGGAAGGCAGGCAGGAAGGACAAATTGAGAAGGGAGGAAGGAAAGTAGGAAGGGAGGAAGGGAGGATAAATGGACAAGGAAGGAAGAAGGAAGGGAGGGAGGGAGGGAGGAGAAATTGAGAAGGGAGGAAGGAAGAAGGAAGGAAGAAGGAAGGAAGGAAGGACAAACAGAAGAGAGGAAGGAAAAGAGGGAAGGGAGGAAAAGAAATAAGGTAGGAGAGAAAGGGAAGGAGGGAGGGAGGGGAAAGAGAAAGAAAAGAGGAAGAGAAAGGAAGGAGAGAACGGAAGAGGAAGGGAGGGAGGGAAAAAAGGAAGAAAGGAAGTCATGAAGACAGGAAGAAAGGAAAAGAGGGAATGGAGGAAGAGAAAAGGAGAGAAAAGAAGGGGGAAGGAAGGAAGGAAGAAGGAAGGAAGGAAAAAGGAAGAAAGAAAGATCCACATACCCAGAGCAGCATTGAACACCCCCCCCCCNCAAAAGGGATAAAATCAGTCGTTTAAGACAGTGTTTCTCAACCTTGGCGACTTTAAGTCCTGTGGACTTCAACTTCCAGAATTCCCCAGCCAGCTCTGCTGGCTGGGGGATTCTGGGAGTTGAAGTCCACAGGACTTAAAGTCGCCAAGGTTGAGAAAAACTGGTTTAAGAAATATTAAGAAACCCCACCCCCCAAAAAGGGGGGAAATGTTTCATACTGCTGGTTTTGCTCATAGAGGTAGTCCTTGACTTACGACCCCAATGGGGACAGGAATTTCCACTGCTCAGCGGGATAATACCGAACTTAACCAGGAGCATCGTTGTTGCTCACTATCGTCATCAGTAGCGCTGATGATGTTACCTAGCTGGGTGATGAAAAATCTGGAAGGAACAACCGAGCTCAAGGAGCAATAAGGACCCCACAATTGCTGTCCTCCTGCTGCTACTCTTCGCCCCCTCCTCCTGCTCTCCACAAATCCCTTCTAGCACTGATGATGTTATCTAGTTGGGTCATGAAACGTCTGCAAGAAAACCACTAAAGCTCAGGGAGCACCAAGGACCCCACAGCTCTCTCCTTCCTCCTTCTCCTCCTCCTCCTCTCCAAACCCCATTCCTTTCTAGCCCTGATAATGTTACCTAGTTGGGTCATGAAATGTCTGCAAGGAAATCCCCCAAGCCCAGGGAGCACCAACAACCCCTCATTCCAACCCTGAGCTCCCCAAATTCTCTTCTGTTGGAGTCCTTCATTTGCAACGGGGAGGCAGTCAGGATCTGGCCATCTGTTGGTCTGGCTGAGGCTTCTGGAGAAAGATCCCCTCCCCTCCAGCCATCGGGCATTGCCACGGGACCATTTCGGATGGCACAGAGGCTTCAAATCTATGAAAGGCTCTTTGCAAAGCCCATCCAGAGGCTCCATCCATCCCAGTCTCCTGGGAAACCACTAGCTGTGTGATTACAATATTTCAGTGCTCTTTCCAAAGACCCACAAATTAGATGTAAAAAAACAAAATTAACTTTGGAAGAGGAAAAATTGGTGGTGGATTTCCAAATAAAAAGCAACAAGGGGTTTTGAATGGCTGTCTTGGTGTCTGGAAGGGAAGCATGCCTGCTTGAATATCCCCCCCCCCCCGCTTTTACATCCCCCCATGGGGTCTTCTGGGTACTGCCAATCGCCACCATTCAATGCCATTCTTGCAGGATTTACAGATTCGGATTATTTGGGAGCCGGAGAAAATTGTCTCTAGGGGAATTCTGGGAGTTGAAGTCTCTCCCCCCCCCCCCCATCTCACAGTGGCAAAGTTTGTAAAAACACTGGGTTAAACAATGCTGGTTCTATGCTCTGCACGCCAACCGCATTCTCTCCGTTAATCATTGCAAGGATGCCAACTCTCTGGCTGAAAGTAAACCCCGGAACTCGCTCTGGCTGGGCGAAAAGGAATAAGAGGCTGCATCTTCACTGGTTCTTCCTTGTGGATTTTATGGTGTGTTTTTTTTTCAATTTTTCTCCCTGCCTGTCGAGAACCCCCTTAGCAGCACCCCACCTCAAGCTGAACTTTGAACTGCAGCGGAAGGGGAGGGTGGTTTGCAAAAGAGGGGGGGAAGAGGAAGTGGTGCAGCCGGAAATGCACCACAGCTCAACATCCGGGGCTTCTTAGCCGCTTTGCCAAGTGGGTAATGTGTTTTCCTTTTCCTTAACACTGAAAAGCCCAGTTAACTCTTTCTTGGATCTCTTGGGTATCTTACGTAGGAAAGGCACAGGGGCAGCTTTTGGAGGGGCAGAGATATATATCCTGGGCCACGGAACCTTCGCCTGCAGCCCAACAAGCGGTGGGGGCAGGACCACCCAGGATAAAAGTTGAAAATTAAACCCGTGATCTACAGGGAAAGCGGTTCTCTGAATCGGTCTTTCTGCAATAGTTGAGAGACATGATTTGGGCATCTGGAACATCTGGAAGGGAAGGGCAAAGGCAGGAAAGGGAGAAAGTGGGGGATCCTTAGTTCCTGGGGGAAAGAAGCTGTTCTAATATCGACACCCCAAATTCATTGCTTTGTTGTTTATTAAATTTGTTTGCTTCCCATCTCGTGAGATTGACTTGCTTTAATAGCAGTGTTTCTCAACCTTGGCCACTTGAAGATGTCCGGACTTCAACTCCCAGAATTCCCCAGCCAGCATTCGCTGG